TATATATATATATATTCTCCAAAAAGAATTAAACACTATAAATTTCTATGTTTGAAGGGCAAGTAAAATAAGATTTGATGATGGGTAGGGCTGCAAGTTTGTCGCGGGAAAAAAGACCCGAAATTCGCGGAAAATTTTAAGATTAAGCAGATTCTAAATATAAGAAAGTTCACTATATAAATGATGCAAAAGACAAAAATCGCACAAATAATGAAAAAAGCTTAAAAAGTACACAACAAAAATATTTCTTTTAATTTGAAGCCATATTAATAATTTTAATTAAACGAACAGAATTTCGGTACAAAGTGTTGTACATTGTCATATTATTTTCTTTATGCTTGGTCTTTCATCACTTAATACATTTTTATACTTAGAAAACGATCTTTCTGCGTTCATGCTGTTTTTAGGTACCGACAAACATTGAATTGCCACTCTTGCCTATTTTAGATAGCGTTCGGACTTTGATTTCCAAAACTCGATAAATTTTCCTTCATCAACAAGCAATTTCTTGACCGTTGCTTTGTAAGAAGTGATTGCCGTGAAAACTCAAGCATTCTACATTTAAACTACTAGTTACAAAAGCCTTATGTCCCTCTCATCTAAGAAACTGATCCCTATTTAAGAAATCACAAGAAGCCACCCAGGAAATATTGCCTGGACGTGTAGAAAGGCAGTAGAAATTTCATTGCCCAGTGCAATAGCCTGTATAACAATTTTTCTGTCATAGATTTGATTTATAGCATTTTCCTTCTTTTGTGATTCCAATTTACAATTGTACTCTTACTGACTTCAGGAAGGTAATTACCCTCCCTAAGTGTAGAAAGACCACCTTACTTGACAAGATAGTGCCGCGCCGCGACAGACCTGCCGCCCTAATGATGGGTGATAAGCAAAGGATATTACAAAGTACATAAATAGGTATTAAAACTTTCAGCTTTATAACTTAATAAAAATTTCAGTTAATAAAACTAAAAAAAATAACGCAAATTTAAAATACTTTAGATTATCCGTTTGCAAATGCAAATTCTTTTTAAAAAATGTTTTTATAAACTTACATAGGCGAACAACAACAAGAATATTGCAGATCCACCTGCTTGCAGAATGGCACTTTGAAGAGTTCGATACTCTTTTTGAGAAATTTTTCCAAAAACAAGAACTTGCAATTCAATTGGCATTTTTGAATATATTCCATCTTGCAATGATGTTAACCTAATAAAAAAATCAATCAAAACATTTTAAAATATTTATATCCCTTTAAATGAAAATAATACATAGTTTCATAAATATACCTCCAATTGTTATACTCAGTTTTGAAAACTACAAATATTTTTACAAGTGCAAGTCAACAAAAGTATTTACTCATTTTAATTTCCCGAAACTATTTGCAGAAACTGCATGAATAATAAGATAAAATCGCAGATGGTGCAAACTGGATGAATTTTTTTTTAAAAAAAAGATTCCTCAAATGCACGATTTCAATAGAAAATACAAAAATTAAGATATCAATAAATATAAAAAACTTACTTTGAATTTCCACCAGAAGAGAAAGAGACTTGGAGAGGAAAAAATCCCCTTGGAGTCACTGGATACACCAAATAGGAATCTTTGTTTTCAGCTGTGTAACAGCAAACTAAAGAATTCTAAAAAAGAAAAAAGATGCATATTTAAAATTCAAATTCTTACAATGATGAATACACTGGTGAGATAGAATTTATCCTAGCAACAATTTTACATAGGACTCAGGTGGGCTAAAAACTGGCTCAATATTGGTGCTATATGATGTCTAGATATTTCAATATTAGTCCTATGCAGTCACAATAGCTCAGGGGATAGAGCGTTCCTTTTCCAATGAGGTGAACCAGGTTCGAATCCCAGCGATGGCTGGTCGATATGAATTCCGCATCCGGCTTGCACTGACGACAGTGCTGACGAAATTACTTCCAATACTAGATCCAGTAGTTCCTTTGTCTTGTGGATTGGGTTCAAAATTACAGGGTTACGTAGTTGAACATCAGTAGTCGCAAACCTGAAAATTGGGTCGGGTGTTCAACAACGGTTATAAAATAAAATATTGGTCCTATATATCAGTGGTCCCCAACCCCCGGTCCGCGGATAAAATGGTACCGGGCCGCCCATTTCATTGAAACTGAATTTAAATTCCTAGGTTTATACCCCAAATTAAAAATATCCATGTTCCATTAAAATTTTATTTATTTAAAAAAAAAGATGCCCCCGAAGGTAGTAACATAAATTTTTTAATGTTTTAAAAAGTAAAAAAAAAGAAATCTTCTGCAACTATTTTTTCATTCAATTTCTTTAAATAAAAAAAAAAAAAGCAATCATCGTAACTGCAAATATCATAAATAAAAAACGAAAGCGCGGTGCGACATTTGCATTGGAACTAATGAAGAACTTCGTCTTCTCTCTCGATTCTGGCGCCTCACACAGTGAGAGTGTATAGTAAGGCNGCAACACACTTCGGGTGTCATTGTCTCCGATTACCCCCAGATGGAGCCGTCTCATTGCAAAGAAACAAGCTTAGAGTTCTCATTGACGTAACGTTCCAGTAAGTTAAAATGTTAAATCACTTTATTTTTTGGTTTAACTGTATTTTATTTTGAAGGTATGTTTAAATACATTTAAATTAAAATAATCTAAAATATAAACAATCAATACCCCACCCCCCTCAGTGGGCCGTGGTAAAATTATCAAACGTTGACAGGTCCGCGGTGATAAAAAGGTTGGGGAACACTGCTATATGTGATCAATATAGAGCCCGTATTGGCTGATAATGAATATAAAATATCTGGAAAATTCTATATAGGGCTGATATTGGTAGTAAAATGGTGGTAATATATACGGGTGAATCGAGCAATTCTATATAGGGCCAATATTGGAAACTAACGGCCATTTGAACCTTTATTGAGCCAAGATTTATGAATATTGGTCTGATAAGGACCTAAGTTATTTTGCAAAGGCACTGGTGAATATACTGGTAATATAGAACAAAATCATAAGTAACATCATACAAAATCTCAGGCGTCAAACATAAGGAAAAGGGACAAAGCAAAAAGTGCAAAAGAGAACAAATAAACTTGTAATCCAATCAAAGAAACTGATTTACACAAATTCAAAAAAGGAAATAAGATATTAACTTTTAAAATAATATTCAAGAGCTAATTGATAAGTAATTATAATTTACAGACTAAAAATATTTAAAATTGCAATAACTTTTAAACAAATAGGAATTTGGAAAAAAAGTTCCACTTAAAGTTATACTTCAAAAAGGTCATATCAGGATGCCAAATTTCAATGTACATTAGATCAACCAACAAGGCTTTTTTAAACTCTGCGAGTTTAGAAGTTAGTAATTCCAGAACTAATGATTAAATCATATTTTAATTATTCAATCTAACTTCTTGCAAATTTTTTTCACTTACCTTCATAATTTCAAGTTTCTAAGTCAGTAGTAAAGTTTCAGTAGTAAAGCAAAATGTAATGTAAAGCAAAAATTTGAAAGAAAAAAAATATGAAAGAAAAAAATTGCAATAACTGTTGAGCAAATTGGAATTTCAAAGAAAAAAAAATGTTCATAGACAAATATAGCCCTTTCAGCATGCCAAATTTTAATTTTGTTGTTGCTCTCCTGCAGACTGTAGAGTGGCCCGTAGGATATTTTTTTCAACAAGTTTAACAGTTAATAATTCTCAAATAATCGAATGCTCATTTTTTTTAAAAAATTCCATCCTAATCATCGTATACTCTTCTATCATCATCAATGGCTCGACAGCCCAGGGTGGGCTTTGGCCTTCTCAAGCAGTTTTTTCCAGGCTAACCTCTTTCCTGCTAGTGTTTTCCAGTTTTTAGTTTTTAAGACCAAAAGGTCTTTCTCTATGCCATCTATCCATCTCAAATTTGGCCTGCCTCTCTTTCGTGTGCCAACTGGTCTGAAAACTCTTTTTGCTTCACGGTCTTTGTCCATTCTGATAACCTGGCCTGCCCATTTCATTCTTTGTTGTTTAATAAAGTTAATAATGTCAGGTTCATTATATGAGTGAAAAAGCTCTAAATTTGTTCTTCTGAGCCACATAATTTTTTTGAATTACTCCAAAAATACTTTTTTTAATTTTTTATTTCCAATGCAGCAAGCGATACAGACATTATCCTAACGCCGTTCAGCGATCAAAAGAAAAGAAAAATACAAATACAGAAAGAGTTGAAATATACAAAATACAAGACATCAAACACAAAAATTAAATCAAGAATTTAAATTGAACAAAAGGTCTCTCCCAGTGTCGGGAGTAGATGCCTCCCAGTGTCGGGAGTAGATGCAGTTCTTTGTGAGAACTGAGCAATTGAGGAGATGTTCAGCATTCATCGTCGCACCACTGCGGCAGAGGGGGCAGGCAGGATTATCCACTATTTTAAGACGGAAAAGATGAGCGTATAAGCAATCGTGCTTGGTAGCAAGACAAAAGGCAGCTACAGCACTGCTTTTTGGGCAATCGGGGAGATTAAGGATATTATTTCTCCACGATTTTTCTTTTGTCCGTTCTTTTAGCAATGATATATGTGTTGTCTTAATTGCACGATTAATCATTAATGAAGCGGACTTATAGCTAATCAAGTTATTTGGGGCTTGATTAACAAAGCAACCTTTTTTGACCAGTGCATCCGCTTTTTCGTTGCCGGGGATACCACAGCGGGATGGGATCCATTGTAAGGCAATCGTTTTATAACATCAAAAATACTTCTCCCACTCTTCTATACACCTTAGTAATTTCAAGTTTCTAAATTCCTATAGTTTTTTCCCAGTAAAACAAAATTTAGCATTAAGGTCAACACCTAAAACAGTACGCCTTTTTAATACAGAGAGATAAATATATTGAAATGTAAAAATTCATACTTGAAGTGGTTCAAGCGAGGGAGTTTTCAGGCCTAAAATGACATCCAGGTCAACTAAAGATGACATACTCCAAGATGGTGTCTCTTTGGGAACAAACATGTTTTGATTTAATAATGCACATTTTGAAATGTTAATTGAATTCGGCCCCAAACTTGCCAGATAGAAAATCACCTCTCTCGTTAGGACATCCCCTACAAATTAAAGATTTCATTCACATAAGCACAGCATCTACTAATACAATAAGGTAATTAATGATAAGTTAACCTTTTTAGACTAAAAATTACATTATATACGAATCAAAGTGTCATTTAAACCATACATTGAGCAATGTGAAGTATACTTCATTTTATAGGACATTCCACAGATAATGTATCAGCAGTTTTACTTATGAAACAGAATATTTTATATTATTTAAGCAATGAATGTATAATTTTTGTTACTAAAATTATAGTAACTCTAAGCACACTAACAATCTGAGCATTTAATCGGAAATTTTTTCGAAAGGGTTCACGGTTGAATAATTTAAATTGGAAAAGAAAGAAAATTTTTGGAAATGAAAAGATACCTTTTGTATCAAGAAAACCTTTTTCAATATATTTTAAGGTAATCCATAAATCCTAATAATAAACTTGAAGGTCAAAAATTCATTTATTTAAAATATATATTTATTATTGTATGTAAATACATAGTAACACAAATATGACATTGTATCTAGAAACACCAGAATCACAATTTAATGTGTATATATATACTAAAGGGCTCCTTGCTCGCTAACACTCGCTAATCCCAATAATATCTTCACAATTATTATTCTTTTTGCTTTGCAAACAAATTAAATACTAATTTCAATTAAATATATACAAACAAATCATTATACTTTCAAAATTCTACTTAAATTGGCAATTATACTACATAGGAATGTAAGAATTGTATGCTACAACCATCAAATTATCAACAACAACGAGTGTGTCATTCACACCTTTGTTATAAAAAGATAGTTCACCTCAATTATCACGCCGTTTATATAGAGGAAAACCAACTCCGGACATATCGTTACGTCTCTGAAAGCATACGGAATTTTTTTTTTAAACACACTTGTGGAACTACCATAAATTGGAGTAACTTGCCTATGTGGCCCATGTAGCACATGCTTCATGACTTTTTTGTGCTAATTTAGAAAATTTGCTTTGTCTGAGATTTCAAGCACAGATGAATCTAACAGTCGAGTCCATTGTTAGTAGTTTATCTCGGGGATTTAAGATGAATATACAGCGAGAGTGGGGTAAATATCTCCTCTGAAATTCAATGTTATATGTTTTCATTGATAGTTTATTATTACAGTACAGAACCCGTTATCCGGAAATCAGAAAACCGGAAAACCGAAAAACCGGAACGAAATTCGATAAATTTTCTCGCCATTTTTAAGTTTTTTTTTTTCCTCATAAGATTTTACGATTTTTCTTTCTTTTTTTAAAGATGTTTACCTTACCATCATTTTGGAAATAATCATTAGTGTATTACTTCATCGTTTTTTCTTATTTTTAAGATTATTTCCAATTTCTTTTTTTTATAGTTGGGTATAACAATAAAAAAAAACGGCTTTTTGTACCGATTCAGAAAACCAGAAAAATCAGTTATCCGGAATAGCGATGGTCCTGACCGTTCCGGATAATCGATTTCCTATTATATAACAATTCATTAATATGTTTTATTTATTATTATGTTAGATGTTTTGATTATAACCCTTTTTATCCAAAACAGCTCCAGAAGAAATTATTTTTATAAATGTTCGAGTATCTCTACAGTGATCACTAATAAGTTGCCTGCAACTTATTAGTTTCAGCACTTGTAGAAATTGTTCCACTTGTCTGTGAAACAACATTTCTAGTTTCCCAATGTCTATCATTGATGCATTGTGTTTTACGTTCATAATATCTTGTTTTTTTCGTGAACTATTCTTTGTCAATCTGCAGTAACGCCACAGCCACTCTGTTGAGTACGATTGCTTCTTTCCATTAAAGATGACAATAAATAGCAACAAATTGAAAAATAGTAATAGCAAAATGAATAACAATAATTTTAACAAAACAAAATTCAATAAATAATAAGTTAATAAAGCTGGATTAAGATGTGTTTCGCATGTTTACAAAGATCGAGTTGTAGTGACAAAAAACATAAAATTAAATATGCTGTTATTTGTTGAATTCAGGGGTTGGTTACATGCAAATATGTGATTAGTTGTTTGGACCATTGATCATGTGATACTCTTTATTCTAATTCTATCACTGGCTAAAATGCTCTAAAATGGTCAGATCACAATATGAGACAACTGTATTCTTATGATATATGTATATCTGGGTGCACAGCCAAATCTTTCAACAAAAATAGGCACCTTTTAAGAACTTAAAAACTGTACCTTTTAAGTATTTTCGATTTCAGAAAGTGGAAAATGAAGCCTGAAATAGAGAATATCCTGCAAAATTCGTAATCCACTAGGTAAAAAGAAAATCTCATTTTCGAAACACCCAATGAAAAAAGCACCTTCAAACACGTTTTAATAATGCTACACACCATTATATATATATATATATACATAAAATTAGTCTAACCTTTAAAAAGCATAAAACTTCCAANTATATATATATATATATATATATATAAACACATAAAATTAGTCTAACCTTTAAAAAGCATAAAACTTCCAATTGAGTAATTAGAAGGCAGAGTCTCATCATCAAGATTATCTTTGGTATGACCAAGCAATACATAAAAGTCAGTTGTGGTATTTCCAATTCTGTTGAAAGACAAATTAAATATATTTCCTTTAGTGCCATCCACAACAATCTGCACCTAAATAAAACAAAAAGTAGATAAGAAATAGAAGTAAAAAAAAATAAGCAATATATTATACATGAAAATAATTCATTATAATTTCTGCTTTTGGTAATTGCGAGCTTACATACAAAAGAGTGTAAATTAGTATACAAAATGAGCGACATTGTTGCAGAACAATACCAAGTTCTTGCAAAAATTATTTTTTCTTTGAGAAGTAAAAATTTCTGCTTTTCTTTCCTGTAGAAATTTTTGAAAGATTATATTCAAAACATGCCTTTCTTATATTCAAAACATGCCTTTCTCACGCATCAGAGTGGGGGGAAAAAATGATTGTGATTTTTCTATTCTCATTTGAGAATAATGAAAAATAAAGAATAATGAAGTAAAAAATTTGGTTTTCTGTATAAATTTTTGTTCTATTCTTTTATTCAATTATTACTACTGATTTCCACATAGCTTTTAAAATCCAATATTTTTAATACAATATTATTTGTTACAACAACTGAATCTCGAAATGAAAACACATGTTTGATAACTCTTTTTTGAAGAGTTTGACGCGAGCGATTTTGATGTCAGTCTTTTTTTCAGTAGTTACTGCTACAAATTTCACGATTTTTCTTTGTTTAATGTGTCGATGAATTACAAAATGAGAAAAAGGAAATAGTGTGTCATCTTCATACAAAATGTAAGAATATCGCTCATAATATTAGAATTAAAAAAAATTACATATTCAATTAAAAAAATTATTTTATTTGATATGATTTTTATTTACTTCTTTACCTTTATTTTTTGAAGTTAACGCTTCTGTTACTTTAAAGTAGTAACATGCATAATTGTTATTTTTAAATATCTTGCAGAAAGATATTAGCATTAAAGATATATGTCACAGAAAGCCGGAAAAAATACTTCCACAGGGTACTTACTCAGAAAAGTCTTAACAGGGTGAGTAGCCAGATTTTTCAACAAAAAATAAGTACCTTTTAAGCACTCAAAAAAATATTTTTAATCACTTTTTCCAAAAAAAAAAAACATAATTAGGATCTGTGCTGTAGTAAAAATAAATTTTTCTATTGTTTTAAAGTTCTTAATTTATAAACATAAAATCAATAAAATTCTAAAACTTTGCATAATCATGATAAAATAACTAGTTTCAGATAAATATTGCAGAGGAAATTGCAAAAAATGATGCATTTTTGTAATTTAGAACGACAATCGATATGGCAAAGAAAAAATCTCTTTTCAAAAGATAGAAAATAAAGTACTTTTTACAAACCCCGAATTATAAAAAGCACCTTTAAGAGCTTTTAAAAAAAGTAAATAAAAAATAAGTACCTGTAAGCACTTTTTAAGAAAGCTACGCACCCTGTCTTAATAGTTGATAGGATACACAACTGAAATATATACAATGAAATATATCCCTCTTAGGGAGATAAAAGACTCAGAGTAAAATTTTCACAGTTAAGCACTACTTATTTAAGAACATAGTAAAATCATAAATAGTTAATACTTTTATAGGAAAACCACAAGCTTTAGATTTGAAAAAATAATATGGATTAACCCATTTTCAGCCAAAGGTGCGCAAACACACCATTTAAATAAATATTTTTTAATTAACACTGTGACATATATTTTTGACTAATTTTATTTTTCTGCTGTATTAATGGTTCTGAAGACATCCATAAATTATTAGTTAATTCAATTGGAATGAACACTTTCTGTTGAGAAATTTTTAAACTGTTCAAGCTCTTTTAAACTTAAGACGGTTATTAACAAATGCAATTTTTTTAAAATGTATAATTATTCATTTTGAGATTTATCATATGTTTCTATGGTGAATTAAAGTTGGAAGTTAGTAAACCAAAAAAAAAATAATAATAATAATAATTATAAAACAAATTTCATAAAAAAAACATGTGTTCAACTAAATGGTTTGTTCACTAATTTGGTGAATGGTGCCTATATGCAGCATTTTATTTCTTACATAAAATAAAATTTTTCATACACAAAATTTTTTTTGTCTTAATGAATGTAATGTAAGCACATTTCAATGAAAATAATATAACATTTTATAAAATAACTATGCTTGGTCTGAAATGGGTTAAGTAATGCTTAAAGGATTACACTTCAATCGTAATCATATAAAATAAACTTTTTCTACCATTAAAATGTAATATAAACAATTAAAAATTTGCACCATAAATTTCTTTAATCTAACATTAAAAAGAGAATCCCTCAAAATTTTATTTCAGAATGAGTTTCATAAATTGGAACTTACTAAACTAAAATTTAAACTTACTCTGCAATTGATTAATGATTTAGGTGAGCTCTCAATATAATTCAAAGTGAGGTGATGCCACATATTCATTTGGAACAAAGATTTACAAACTCCTTTGGAAAGGCAAATCATTTCTCCATTATTGTAACTATTGATTCTAAAAATAACAAATTTCAATTTCACAATTTTCTTTAATCACAGAAAGATTAATATGAATTAAGCAAAAACACCAAACTCGAAAATACTTTATAGAGATAATAGTCTTTCAAAATCTAAGATATTATTACTTCTTCTTTTGTAATAGAAAAAAAATCACGAAATAATTCAGAGCCATATCATATTTAGTCCTCAAAAATCATCATTCCATCCAAGAATGAGAATTCTGGGTGGCAAATACCGGCAGGAAAAAAAACCAGTTGAGTTTCTTGCCAAGAAACATTTTTCAGAAGCTTTATGAGAAGTAAAAGAAATTTCTGCTTAACGTCACGTCATTCCTTGACGGAACTTCATTCTAGGGAGTTTATGGTAAGGTACAAGAACAAGTATGAAATTTTACTTTCTGGTTAACTTCATACTGTAGTTTGCTGCTTATTCTTAAAAATTATTGTAGTTAAGGTAAACAAATTGCATTTTTGCAGCATAGATCTTTTTTTTTTTTTAATTATGAAAGTAAAATTTTTGTGCCTTATTTGTAACAAAACAACACATATTAAAAAAAATTAATTCATTATTTCCAACTTCATCTTTAACTATCAAAATATTAGTTTGCATTGAATTGACCAAATTCTAGATCCACTCAAACTATTAGAAATTTCTTATATATAAGTTTTCATCACAACATAGGAAATTATTTCTTACTACTTTAAGTACATTTAAATATATTTCGGTAAAAAAGTTTGACACGCACGAATTTAACCAAAATTATTTGGTAAGAATTTAGACATTACTAGCTCTGCATGCTACTTATAACCTGCTATGGGTGAAATTTTCTTAAAATTAATTTACACAGGGGTCGACAAATACTGGTTGTTAAGGAGTCCAAAAAGTGGTTAACCCACAATATTCTAATAAGTATGGTTAGACTAATAAGAGAGCTTTTCCTTTCATAGCAAACAAGCTCTTACAGATTTTTAATGTTTTCTGGGCCCCTTAATTACAAATTTAACTTGCATATTAAATAAAATAAAAATAAAGTAACATATCTGCTAAAATTGGAGAAATAAAATACCACAGATTTCATTAGCGACATTTTTTAGGCTACGAGTAAAGTTTCGGTACATCAGGCATGCACAATCATGCAATTTAAAAAGAGAAACTCAAAAATGGAATATAAACATTTACATTAGAAATATAAACATTTACAGTTAACAAAGCAAAAAATATGTATACAGATCTTAATCTAAAGATTTTTTTATGCATTATTTATAATTACTTAAACTATTTTATTTTATAACTCATTGAACAGGCGACCCAAATAATGGGTTTACAACTACCAATGTTCAACTCTGTAACCTTGTAATTTTTATCCCAATCCAGAAGACAAGGGAGCTCCTCGATCAGTACTCCCAGAGGAATGGCATTCAAATTTGGAAGAAAAAAAAATCCTCATGTTTTCCCTGTACATAGTATACACAATATATTACGAGGAAAAACACAATTACTGTACTCGTGTGTGAGCTATATGGGGCTAACTATATTTATACGTTTTAATTGCTCGAAAAACAGCAGAACATACTTAAATGCTATAGTAAATTAAACAGTTTAGTATAGCTGAAATATCATGGTTAAATATCCCATAGATTATGCCTTGAGTGGTGACCATTTTTTAAAAGACAAAAATAAGAAACAAAATTCCCTGTAATTTCCCAGTTTGTAAAGAAAAATTCAAAATTCCCTGCATTTTTCCAGTTATTTTAGGTGATTTTTAAATTCCCTGAATTTCCCAGGTTTTCCCTGTGAAATAGCAACCCTGTATTAATTTGCAATGGGAACTTGGAGGACTTTGTGACTTCGAGAGATTTAATGTGCATCAGTGACAATTTAATACACAGGGATTCTTCAGCCGGCTGTATTCAAACTCCCGTTCTCACAAACATTAGTCCAAAAACCTAAAAATAAGGCCATCACGGCCCCTACCTAAACTATTAACACCCAACATACTGCAGTGTTAGCAATAGCACTATCTCTTGAAGAATAAGAAGCATTTTTGCCATCAGCGGATATTTTTATCACCAAATATTTTTGTTAAAAATTTCTTCAACAAAGACAGAGAAATTTGAGAATCTACGGGTAAACAGGAGATAGTCCTAAAATACAGGAGTCTTCATTAAAAAACAGGAGACTTGACTTATTGTATAAAGTAAGAAATAAAAAAGCAAAAAAAGAAATTTTCTTCAGAAGGTCACTCAAAAGTACATACACACTATTTTATGTAAGAAATAACACAAATTCACCTTACAAATCTATTGAAAAAAACTTTAAATATACATATATATAATTTATATATGTATATAAAAAATATATACACATGTATGTATATAAACTCAGAAAAATTACCTAATGATAAGATCATTATCCCAAGTATTATACCATAGTTCCAAAAGAAATTTGTCAGAACCAAAGGATATCACATGAAGCTCACTTCTGCATAAATCTTCATCAGAAATCTTAGGTGTACTCACTGAAAATACAAAACTTTATTCACATTTTAGACACACAATTGCAGATAGTTAAGTTTTTATTACAATTAAAACAAAACTAAAAAAGGCAATTTCACAAAAGATGCTATTTGCAGCATCTACCGAAAACATTTTCATATCTTTAAAACTCCTCGTGGTGGAATTTTTTCGAGCTTCCTAAGACAAAACTCTTTAGAACTAATATCTTTATAAGATACTTTCAATGATAACAAAGATGTGTGCTACTAATTCACAGTAACAAAAAGCTGTGTTTATAAAAACAAGATATTATCTTTAATTGAATATGCAATATTTTTTTGATTATAATATTATGAGAGATATTCTAGCATTTTGTTGGGGGGAAAAACTCACTAAATCTTTCCTTTATCGCATTTTGTAAATCATTAACACATTAAAAAAAATAAATAAAAATCATGAAATCTGTAGCAGTAAAAGCCAAAAAACAGATCAACAACGAAATCATGCGAATAGGAATATTAAAAAAGAGGTTATTCAAATGCGTGTTTTGTTTCAAGATTTGATAGTAGAAATAAATAATATCGGATTTTAAAAACTATATGGAAATAAAAAGCATTAATTGCCAAAACAATGAAACAATCATTGCCCTAATAAGTAAATACTCGAATGCACAATTCGAATTTCCCACATCATCTGAAATATATCAGAATGATTAAATACCATATGAAACTCAATAATTTCCAAAAATACAATTGAAACACTACATGGATGTCCGATACTATCGGCGTAAATTGAACAGGGCAAAAAGTGATAATTTAATTGTGCAATTAAAATTTTATATGTAAATTTCAGCAGAAAAGAAAAATCAAAATTGTTTCTTTCCAAAAGAAAAATGTTTCTGCAAGAACTCTGTAATATTCTGCGACAATATCGCTGCATTTCTTTCACAGGGTTAAAACTTATAATACCTTTAAAACTTACAAGTTACCTTTTTTTTCTTTACACTTTAAGTTAAGTTTTCATACAATATATTAAGTACTGTGAAACTATATCTAGTAACTAAACTAATATATGCAATTAAAAAATCAACAGTTCAAACACAGTAGCAATTTTGAATTTTTAAAATTCGGTCAGTTACAAATTTTTTAGGTTTAAGTACTAAATAAAGAATAATTACAGCTTACAATAAAAATAATTCAGCTAATCACTAATATTAAGTGTTTGTGGTCTTCTAACTATTTTTATTTTGACATAACAATTCTTTTTAATATTTTTCTTTAATATATAGATGCGTAAACTTTATCTTCGAAAAATTATCATCAACTGTCTGCTTTTAAAATTTCTCCTGCTCTATATTGTCTGCTTTTAATATTTCTCTTGAATCATGCAATAGATTCTTTTTTATGGATAGGACTACTCTTCAGTAATTTAATTTCAAAACGTTTTGTAAAGGACCCGGAAAATTTGGTGGACCTTGGGCCTGAATTTGTCTTGATTGATACCTGTCAGTACCCCCAGAGATATGATTTCTTACGGGGAGGACATTGTGACTCGATAGATTCAACATGTATCAGTCACCACGGGAAGTCTGGGCATGGGCCCCATGCCCTACCAACCACGCTATCTCGGCCTTACTTAAACTATTAACACTCAACATGCTGCAATTCTGGCCTTAGCACTATCTGTTAAGAAATAAAGAGTATTTCTTAACTTATTAATGTATTTCTTATCTTAAGTATTTTACCATCGCCAATATTTAAAAAAAAAATTCTTTCAACAAATACGAAGAAATTTTAAAATATATGGGTGAACAGGAGATAGTCATAAAATACAGGAGTCTGCATTAAAAAACAGGAGACTTGACAGGTACGTGAAGTTACATGCCCAGATATAGTTAACTTACTTTTCAAGTCCTTGGTGGAATCAATTTTCAGCCAAAGAGAGCAACAAAATCCTTTTGTAAAGCCATTATTCCATCTAGTATCTTCAGATAGAGGAAAACACATTGCAGCTTCAGTCCAGGGAGATGGAGAGACACTCTTCAAATGAATATTGAAACACTTTTTAAGACGTTTTTTCACCCGATCAGTCGAATCAGAAAATTTGGGGCTAGGAAAGCTGACACTCCAAACTGGATGTGGGCTCATATCTTCTACCATGTCATTTAGACTTTTCAATAACAGAGGCTGTAAAGAGAAAATAAAAATAGCTTTAAATTGTTGGAAAAAATATCAATGGAACGTCAAATTTCCATTCAATATATATATACATAAATACACATAGATATATATATAGCATAATAAATAAATACAAAAAGGACAAAAAGAAAAGAAAACCAAAGAAAACAATAAGTTTTATTTACTGCCCATATACTGCAAGTAAACCGAACTCATAAAATAAGTTCAAAAAGTAGAGAAAACATGGAAAAAATTATACAACAATGAAAAAGGGAAGAAAAAAAATATAGAAATCTGAAGAAAAAAAATCCGATAAATGGAAGAAAAAAAATTAATAAAATTCCGGAAAATGAAAGATATAATCAGATCACAAGATTATATTAGCAAAAAGGAGAGATTTCTAATATTGTATCAATATAGCTAAAGCAAAATATATCAATACATTAGTGTGAATATATATATACATATATATATTATGCAAATTAATAAAGTTTCAGAGTCATCGCGCGTGCGTGGCGCGCGCAGCGCCCTCTGAATTGATGCTGAAAGCGTATAAATAAAGTGCTGTAGCGGGACGTTGAAAATAGTCTATGATTATTTGTTAGTGGCAAACGTTTAGTGAGACCTGAGTATGCCTCCACGACGGAAGAATAAGAAATTCAAGCAACTTACGGAGTTTGAACGAGGGAGGATAATCGGCCTTCGAGAAGGAGGATTTTCCTATCGCGCAATAGCAGCTCGTATGCAGCGGAACAGTTCCACAGTGATGCGAGTTTGGAAGCAGTGGACCGACGAGCACCGAACAACTCGAAAAACAGGCACTGGACGACAGAAGGTGACGTCAGAGCGCGATGATCGACACCTGCT